GGGCGCAGGGATTTGAGGGTCACATAGGTTTTAGGCCGCCCATTCTTTATGCGCGTCTGCTCCTGTGCGTTCTTGTTGCCTTGGGTCGCAGGTTGCAGCCTGTTGTCTCGGCTTCGCGTTGCAGAGTTTGTGGCGGCCGCCTCCCGGTTCAGCCCTTTTTTTCCTTCTCTTTGGGTATGAAGTTCCAGGGAGCCGTAGGGGCTCCCCACAGAAAACCAGCGTTGAATGTAATGAAACGCCATTTTCTGGGTGAGTCCCGGAGGCTCTCTGGCAACCCTCCTTCCCACCGGTCGGCGTTTTTTTCGCGTTGGTTGAAGCTTAGCTTCCGTACTGGTGCTAGGCAGCCAGCGCGGTAGGTCCGGGGCTCCCTCCTCCCCCTCAGGGCAGGGAGAGCTGCACGGACGATCGGCGCGGCAGTATAGTGTGATGTTTGCTTATTTGCTTGTTTCCTTGGGATTGTAGGGAATTTCTACCTCTGTTCGGTTTTTTGTTTTAGTTTTTACCATGTGGGGTTTGTTTTGTTATGCCTACCTTTCTGGGTGCAAACCCCGGTCAATGGCAGATAGGGAAAACCCCAACCACAAGGGGGTTTTCCAGGGCCATTGCTCCCTGAAACCTCTCTGAAAGGGCCAGGTTCTGGCGCTGGTCCCTGGTAGGTCTGAACTCCTTAGCTAATGTCCCGGTCTAATATAACATACATTAGCCCGATAAGCTCCAGGGAGCCTCCGGGGCTCACCTAGAAAATGGCGTTTCATTACATTTAACGCTGTTTTTTTGTCCGTTGCTGTTTGCAGAGTCTGCAGTGTTGCATTTTCTGCAGGTGGCTTTGTCCTGTGATGGCCTTTGTCGGACTTGTAAGTTTTCCGGGGATTGGCCATGGAGGTCCTGCCCGGAAGGGTCGTGCCAGGCCTCAGGGTTCCTTCAGTCGTCGTAAGCCAGTAGTGTCAGATTCGGGGCCGGCACCTCCTCTGGAGCTGTCGGCGTTCTGTTTGGTGCAGTGATCACTCTTAGTGTCAGTTGGGCTTTTGTAGGGGTCGTCGGCCCTTTCGTGGGTTGCCCAGTTGACGGGGCGATAGGAGGGGGAGGCTCGCCCTGTTTGCTGTCTCTCGCCAGGTCCCACGATTCGTGAGCATTTCGGGTCGTTTCCTCCGACCTGTGGTGGCGTTGGGTCGCTCCTCCTTCGGGGGGATCTGGGCTGGCAGGGCAGGCCTCTTCTCCTGTGCTCTGTCAGGTCATCCGGGGGTGGGTTTGCTTGGGTGTGGTCAAAATAACAAAGTCCCTCAGGTGGGTTTCCACCTGTTTTCAGTTACGAAACGGGACTGTGTGGATCTGTGATTCATACTGGTCTGAATCCCTGGAACTTTTGCCCCTCCTTTCGGATGACCACTCGGGGTCAGGTTCGGCTGCTTTTGGCGCCGGGTGCCTGGATGGTGTCTCGGGACCTCCAGGACGCGTTTCAGTTTTATAATTTTATGGTACACATGCCGAGGGACCGAGGGAGCCAGTCAGTTGAGCGGACAGCACACTGGACTTGTGATCCTGTGGTCCCGGATTTGATCCCGGACGTCGGCGAGAAACAATGGGCAGAGTTTCTTTCACCTATGCCTCTGTTACCTAGCAGTAAAATAGGTACCTGGGTGTTAGTCAGCCAAGATGCCTTTTCATCAGGGGTTCAGTGACTGGCTCTGTTATGACAAGCTTACCACTTTCATTGCATTCCATTCGGCTTGAATTTGGTACCTCGAGTGTTCACACGCCTTACTGGGTCATGGTGACCTGTTTGCTTCTGTTAGGGGTTCAGGTTCTGGCTTACCTCAACGACTGCCTGGTGTGGGCTCCCAGCCAGTTCGCATGTGCCAGGGATATGGTTCTTTCTCAGCTCACCGGGTTCGGGTTCATGGTGCACTGGAGGAAGTCCCTTTTGGTTCCCCATCAGGTTCGGGCTTGGCTGGGTCTGGTGTGGGACTCTCGGACTGCTTCCTTGTCTCTCCCTCCTGTGATGCTGTTGCAGCTGTGGTCCCGCCTCCGCCTTTTTTTGGAGGGCACCTGGGTCACACATGAATTGTTTGAGCAGCTGTGCGGGAGCCTGAATTCGCCTTGCTGGTCTACCCATCGAGTCGGATCTGGCTTCGGCAGATGTTCTGGTTTCTTTTGGGGTCATCCCTTCTTCTGCTCTCGCGATCGATGGGTTCGGATCACGGGAGCCTTGCGTCGGCTGCTGTGTCGCCAGCTTCCTCTGCAGGTTTTTCAGGGTTCTGTGCCGTGGCGCCTCCCTGAGCCTTTGCTTGATGTGTTCACGGATGCCTCGTCTCTCGGCTGGGGTTTTGTGACAAGTGCTCACCAGGCCGTCCAGGGTCGGTGGGGTCTGCCATTCTGTCAAGCTCACAGCATGGTGCAGGAGTTTGCGGCGGTGTGGCATTCGTTTCAGACGATTTGGGTCACTCGAGGAGCAACGATCTGGCTCCATTTGGACTGCTCCCCGTTGGTTCATTTTCTGAACCGCGGGGGTTTCATGCGGTCCTAGGTTCTTTACGGCTGGTCGCTTCGGGGTGACTCGTCTGCTGTGTTCTCGGAGTTTGGATCTCCTGGCGGTTTATGTTCACGGGGTGTCAAACGTCCTGGCGGACGACCTGTCTCGGTTCGTTCCCCTTTCCACGGAATGGACGGTCAACGTCGACTCATTCAGTTGGCTCTGCCAGGTGTACAGGCACTCAGAGGTGGACCTATTCACATCGACGTGGTCGAGGCATCTTCCAGTTTATGTGGTGCCCTTCCCTTCCCAGACTGCAAGGCTGTCGGGATCGATGCCTTTCGGCTGGACTGGTCGAGGCGGAGTTACCTGTACCTCTTGCCTCCCGTCTGGTTGTTGCTCCGGATCCTGGCTCAGTTGGAGACTTGCCAAGGGAGAGTAGTCCTGTTGGTTCCTTGGTAGCCGGGCCAGCCTTGGTTTCAGGCGCTTCTTGCTCGATGTCCGAACCTGAGGGTCTTCCCGCGGCTCTGCCTCTTTCAGCAGATCAGTCCGGTCCATTACATGGCTGGTTTGATCTCCTCCACTCTTTGTGTCTGGTCTTTTTGACACAGGTGTATCACCATTTGTATGGTGATCAGGTGGCTTAGTTGATGGTGTCCCACCTGTGAGTTTTGTCTAGACGGCAGTATGAAATTTCCTGCCGGTCCTTTCAACAATTTTTGTCTCTTCGTAGGTTGTCTTTGATTTCTGTTCGGGTTGTTTTGTCCTTTCTCTCTTAGTTGTTTCAGGACCGTCATCTTGTGCCAAGTACTGTCGCCTCATTTCGTGCGGCCCTGGCTGAGCCACTGCAACTTGCTTTCGGGGTGGATGTCTCTTCTGCTCCGTTCCGCAAGTTTTCTCGGACGTTGTTTCACCTCCGGCCGACTCATGCGTCGCCTGAGCTGTCCTGGTCGTTGGACTGGGTGCTCTCCTCGTCACAACCGGGTGCTCTCTTTTCTCTCTTCTCATCGGTTTGTGGTGGTCCCCTCAGTTCAGGACTGTTTTCTAAGGCTCTTTTCTTGAGGGCATAGGCCTCTGGGGGTCGGGTCAGGGAGCTTCATGCTCTCCTCCGGTGCAGGGGTTTCTGCTCTTTCAGTCCTGGTGGTCGTTTCGTTCGTTTGCAGCCTTCTCGTCCTTCTCTGGTGAAGAATCAGTCTGCTACTTTCAGAAGGGGTCCCATGGGTTGTTGATGCTTGGTTGGTTTGGCCGTGGGTGCATCATGTTTTGTGTCCAGTTGTCCAGCTCGCCACGGGCTCCGTTGCAGGGGGGACACACTTTGGGTGGACCCGGTTTCCCTTATTCCCTGTTCCAAGGCGCGGTTCTCCCAGGTCATCCGCAGGATTATTTGGTCTAGCCAGCCTGCAGTCTATCCCTGACGTTCGTAAGTTCGCGGCTTTGGCTGCTGTTTTTGGGAATATGTCCTGGGCTGACCTTCGGGCATGGGGCTAATGGAGGTCTAACAGGTTCCTGGCTGCACGGTATCTTGTTTATGTTCCTGGGCCTTCTTGGGCGTGTGTAGCCTTAGGTCGCAGGTGGCAGCCATTTGTCTTTGACTTCGAGTTGAGGAGCGAGTGATGACCGCCTCCCGGGTAAGTCCCTCTTTTTGTTTATCTTTGGTTAGGTATCTCTGGGGACCCAAAGGGGCTCTCCACAGAAACCCAGTGTTGAATGTAATGAAACGCCATTTTCTGGGTGAGACCCGGAGGCTCTCCAGCATCCCTCCCTCCCTCCAGTCGGCGTTTTTTCGTGTTTTTTGATTCTCAGCCTCTGAACTGGGGAGAGTTGCTGACATGTAGGTCTGGGACCCTCCTGTCCCCCTCTCGGGGAGGGGGCGGTTCCGCACACGGATGCGCGTCGTTGTGCTGGCGTCATACTTGTTTCCTTGGTTTTGATTGGGGAGTTCTGTTGCTTGTTCGGCTTTCGGTTTGCAATTTATTTAATCAGCAGTAGTTTGTTTTGGAATTCCTACCTTTCTGGGTGCCTGACCTGGTAGATGGTAGACAAAGACTGCTTCCAATTACACAGGGGTGTCTTTAGGCCATTGCTCCTCGTGCCTCTCTTGAGAGGGCCAGGGTCTGGCTCTGGTCCCTGGTAGGCTTAGAACTCCTTCCATTGATTGTTGCCACGGTCTTATATATACACATCAGCCCGGTATTGCTCCGGGGAGCCTCCGGGTCTCGCCCAGAAAATGCCGTTTCATTACATTCAACGCTGGTTTGTTTCTTGCACTTTTTCTGTGAGTCTTAATTCATTATTGTTTTAACAATGTTTATATCTGCCTCACATCTGGGGAGGATTGATGTTGGTCCTTGGTCTTCCAGGGAGGGTTTTTGCACCATGGACAATATCTTATTATTATTCTTAAAGGACAGTTTGTCATGATCAATGCTTTAAAGTTGTTTGAAATGCAATATTTAATCTAATATTATAATATTATATTTATCACTATAAAAATGAGTCTATACAGTAATTATCCTTACTGTATTCACAGGTGACACCCAACTCTCGCAGTTAGTTAAGCTGCTGATCATTGATGAGGTCCACTTGCTGCATGGTGACCGAGGTCCTGTTTTGGAAAGTCTTGTGGCTCGCACCTTGCGCATGGTACGCACTCTGTTACACTAATATTCTTTCTGTAGGTTAAGATTTCTTGGTATTTTTCTTGTTCTATGTTAGATGCTGATCTAGTTCTTTGGAAAGAAGTTTGTGTGATACAGAAGAGTGTCTTATGTTTGACTGCGTATGACCTTCAACACTTTAATTACTAAAACTTTGTTCTCAAAATATTAATGAGTACAGTATAACATATCCTTTGTATCCTACATATTCAATGTTTTGTACTTGTTTAAACTACAGACACATGATGATGCTTTTGGTCCTTACAGGTGGAGTCTCAGCAGTCCATGATTAGAATAGTGGGTCTCTCTGCTACTCTGCCAAACTACATAGATGTGGCTTCTTTTCTTAGAGTAAATCCATTCAAAGGTCTCTTCTACTTTGATGGGTAAGATCAGGATTGTTATTTCAACATGTTAGATTAACAGTTATGAGAATGCCATTTCTACTTAGCTCTATGATATATCTCCAATCTACTGTATTATTATTATTATTATTATTATTATTATTATTATTATTATTATTATTATTATTATTATTATTTATTTGTATGAAGTAAATTTAAACACACTTATAATTTGAAAAGTCTGGTGTAAGCAGTTATCCTCTACATGTAATGTGTGTGTCTCTTGTGCCTCTACAGACGGTTCCGACCAGTGCCACTAGGCTTGACTTTTGTTGGAGTAAAAGCCATAGGGAGGTTCAAGCAAATGGAGGATATGGATAAAGTCACTTTTGATAAATGTCTACACTTTTTGGAACGTGGTCACCAGGTTAGTAATTGCTTTCTTATTAACTTAACAGAATGTTATGCTTAGATTGAAACCTGTTTTGTTTAGTAATACTATGTGTCAGGCCTATGTAGAACTTAACTGAATGCAGCAGTACTTAAATGCTGCACAAACTGCACTTCCTTGACTGCTCTCACAAGAAATTATTCCTCCTCATTATGAGAATTACTGTACAGTATCCACTTGATATAAGGACCTCTTATTTACCATTCCTCATAATGGTGTTCTAACTGGCAGACAGATTAGGGCAGTAATTAGAGGCAATGTATCTGGTTGGAGGAGTGTTACTAGTGGAGTACGACAGGGTTCAGTTCTTGAACAAATCCACAAGGGCCGTGACGAGGATTTGTTCATTTGATGCATCACGTTATCATGATCTCTGTGTGTGGTTCAGTTCTTGCACCAGCAATGTTTATCATCTATATAAATGATCTCCCAGAAGGAATACAAAATTATATGAACATGTTTGCGAATGATGCTAAGCTACTAGGGAGGAGAGATGTCGACGATTGAAAGTAGTGTTTGGAGCACCATGTGGCAAATGAAATTCAATATGAATAAATGCCATGTTATGGAATGTGGAAAAGGAGAAAAATAGACCACAAATAACCTACAAATTATGGGGACAGGCCTTAAAGAACTCTAGCAAACAAAGAGATCTAGGGTTGGTTCTGGACAGTAGACTATCCCCATAGGAACACGTAATGGACATCAGGCAAGGAGCACATGCGGCGCTTTTCAACTGCAGATTCACTTTTAAGTACTGTTCATGGGTGGTGAAATACTAAAAACTTGTTCTTGACTTTAGTAAAACCAAATTTGGAATATGCAGCAGTTATATGGTGCCCATATCTCAAGAAGCTCATTAGTAAACTAGAAAAGGTGCAATGGCTTGCTACAAAATGGCTTCCAGAACTGAAATACAAGAGTTATGAAGAGAGGTTAGAGGCATTAAATATGCTTGGTCATATGGGGGGGATACATACAGCTTTGACACGGGGGAGATACCAGATGCGCTTAAACCAGCAAACATAGCCCCTCTACACAAGGGAGGTAGCAAAGCATTAGCAAAGAATTATAGACCAGTTGCACTAACATCCCACATAATAAAAGTACAGGCATACCTCAGTTTAAGAGTTTAATTGGTTCCTGGAGACGCCTCGTATTCCGAAAACTCGTATTCCGAAGCTAATTTCCCCATAAGAAATAAAGGGAAATGAATTAATCCGTTCCTGACTACCCCAAAAACCCCACATCAAACAAAATTTTTATACCTAATTCATCTAAATAAACCTACAAAACTATGTTCAAGTTATTACTTACCTTGCTGTTGAATGCTGTAGGCGTATGGAAGATGGTGAGGAGGGGGGAGGAGGAGAGGAGTTACTGTTTGGAAGGGGAATCCCCTTCCATTATCACATCAGGCAGTGAAGACCTTTCTGGTGTGCTCTCCCTGGGACGTTTTATGAGTGCCACTAGGTCCTGGTTGAGGCTCACTGCTCGATTTCCTCACCACAAATCTGTCCAAACCCTGGCTTTCTCTCAAATAATGGCCTCCGAAACACTATCACCCCTTAACTCCTTGTCGTGTATCCAAATTAATAACAACTTTTCCACTTCAAGTATTTGTGGTCTTTGTTTCATTATTGTTCTGACTCCTTTTGCCACTTTAGCACTCATAATCTCATTTTTCTTCTTAAGTATAGTGCATATTGTTGATGTGGCTTTGTTGTACTGCCTACAAAGTTCAACAACACGTGTACCGTTCTCATGCTTCCGAATGATCTCTTGTTTCTCCTCTATTGTCATCCTCACATGGGCTTTCTGGCCTTTATCCTTACCACTGGCTTTCTTGGGACCCATGGTGAGATATATAATAACAAATTGTATAGTCAAATCACCAAAAATCCAACAAAACACTGAAAATCCGCGAGAAGAATTGATGTGGGGTAGTCACTGGGTGCGAGACAATGGTAAACTGAGGGGCGGAGGGGCGACGATCGCCGAACCACCACGCGCTGGGTCGGCCTGTACGTGTATCAACAAACTCGTGTCCCGAGGTAACCCTCGCGTTCCGAGACATATTTTCCGAGGAAATCCTGCTCGTATTCCGAATACTCGCATACAGGGACACTCGCATTCCGAGGTACCACTGTATTTGAGAGAGTGATCAGGAGTCAGGTCACAAGTTTCATGGAGACCCATGACCTCCACAATCCAGGCCAACATGGATTTAGAGCAGGAAGATCATGCCTCTCACAGCTACTTTACCATTACGGCAAAATCACTGAGGCATTAGAAAAAAAACAGAATGCAGATGTGGTATACACAGATTTCGCAAAGGCATTCGATATATGTGACCATGGAGTGATAGCACACAAAATGAGGTCAATGGGAATAACTGGTAAAGTAGGACACTGGATACTCAGTTTTCTGTCGAACAGAACACAGAGAGTAACAGTCAACCATATAAAATCGAGTCCAAGCGCAGTTAAAAGCTCAGTACCTCAAGGTACAGTCCTTGCACCACTGCTTTTCCTTATTCTCATATCAGATATAGACTCAAATACAAGGCACAGCTTCGTATCATCCTTTGCAAATGAACCAAAAATCAGCATGAATATTAACTCTGCTGAAGATATTGAGCAGAGTAGGAAATTAGAAACTCCGTTTGTTAGTGTAGCTCTCATGTAAAGGATTTGGGAATAATGATGTCTAGCGACCTAAATTTTAGGGAGCATAACTAAGCAAATATTGTGGCAGCCAGGAAAATGATAGGATGGATTACGAGACCTTTCAAATCCTGGGATCCCATCACAGTGGTTGTACTCTTCAAATCACTTGTGCTGTCCTGTCTTGAGTACTGCTCAGTACTCAAATCCCCATTCAGAGCAGGAGAGATTGCTGAAATAGAGGGCGTACAGAGAACATATACGGGATACATAAACAAGATAAAGCATCTAAATTATTGGGATCGTCTCAAAGCTCTCTGAATGTACTCGCTAGAAAGACGATGGAAGAGATATCAAATAATATACAAGTGGAAAATACTGGAGGGCCAGGTCCCAAATTGGCAAAGTAAAATAACAACATTTTGGAGTGAACGATATGGAAGAAAATGCAGCATAGAACCAGTGAAGAGCAGGGGTGCCACAGGCACAATTAGAGAGAACTGTATAAACATCAGAGGTCCACGGTTGTGTTGAAGTAGCCCGTAGCAACTGTCTAACTCCCAGGTACCTATTTACAAGTAGGTAACAGGCACATCAGGGTGAAAGAAACTGCCCATTTTTGTTTCCGCCTCCACCGGGAATCGAACCCGGAACCTCAGGACTACGAATCCGAAGTGCTGTCCACTCAGCTGTCAGGCCCCTGTCACTACGAGTGTAGCTCTCATCCTGTAACTACACTTAGGTAATTACATGAAGTTTTGAATAAAATTACTGCATATGATTTGTTCTTTGTATAATTTTGTTTTCTATATTTTCAGGTAATGGTCTTTGTTCATGCCCGTAATGGTACTTTACGTACTGCTGAAAATTTGATTAAGTTGGCTCAGGAGATGGGCAAGACCCAAGACTTCCTTCCAGATGATGGACCAGATGTTACCCGAGCTCGCAAAGACATAGGCCGATCAAGAAACAAAAAGCTGGCAGAGTTATTTGAATCTGGATTTGGAGTTCATCATGCTGGTCTCTTAAGAGCTGACAGGTATCAGTATTGTTGGTAAATGATTAATCCAACACCTGTTATTAGAGGTTTTAATGGAATTTATGCTATGGAATTCATTATTAGATATGTAAGATGTATATGTTGACATTAAAAGAATAGTAGTCAGTAAGTATTTGAACAGTGACAGTTTCTGTTGTTTTGGTTCTCTGCTCCAAGACATTGGATTTAAAATGAAGTAATATATGTGAGGTTAATGTGCAGACTTCCAGCTTTAATTTGTTGGTGAACTACAAATACAACTACATTGGGTGAACTGTGTTAGAATTAGTCTTTTTCTGTGGGGAGCCCCTACGGCTCCCTGGAGCTTATCGGACTAATGTATGTTATATTAGACCGGGACATTAGCTATGGAGTTCAGACCTACCAGGGACCAGCACCAGAACCTAGCCCCTTCAGAGAGGTTTCAGGGATCAATGGCCCTGGAAAACCCCATATGGTTGGGGGTTTTCCTTATCTGCCATCGACCGGGGTTTGGCACCCAGAAAGGTAGGCATAACAAAACAAACTCCACATGGTAAGAAACTAAAACAAAAAACCAAACAGAGAGGTAGAAACTCCCTACAATCCCAAAGAAACAAGCAATCACAATACTGCCGCGCTGCTCGTCCTTGCAGCCCTCCCCGCCCTGAAAGGAGGACGGGTTCCCAGACCTTACAGTGCCGGCTGCCTAGCACCAGTTCGTAAGCTAATGTCAACTGGGACAGACGCTTCTTTCTCTCGGACAACTGAGACGGACAGTTTCATAGGTGGTGTTTGCTTTCATGGCATTTACTGCTGTGTTTTTGTGTTGTGCAGTGGCCAGGTGTTCCTCATTAGTACCGGGGCTGCATCCGCCTAGGAGCTTCCTTCCCTAAGCGCCCTGTGAGTACTGCCCCTGTGTGACAGGGTTATCTTCCCTGGGGCGTTCGGGAACCATTCCCGTTGAGATTCTTGCTGCTAGATATTTGCCTCGCCCTTGAGGCCAGCTGGGGCTTAGGACCCTTGTTTGGTCTTGGGTAGGGACCTGTATTGTGCTGGTTAGGGCGTCAAGGTGTTGTAACTACACTTAGGTAATTACTTGAAAATAAAAGTACAAGCCGCCGACCAGTGGGCAGAGAGCACCACGCCGGCCAGGCAAAGAAGGCACAAAACTGCATCAAAAGGCCCACCTCGACAACAAGACCTCAAAGTCCCAGCACGACCACAACATGTGCCAAGACCCAAAAAGATCAGTCTGCAAGCCAGGAAGACCCCGGAACTCCAGAAGGCAGAACCGGGTCACACATGAGGAAACAAAGTCCCCAGAACCTACAAAGGGAGCCCAAGAGGAAGAAACCTCCAGAAAGAAACCAAAGAACCCAAAAGAACCCAGAATCGAATCAGGGGGAGCCCAAACCACCACATTTGCCAGAGGAGAAACACCACAGAAAGGCAAAGCACAGCCCCCAGACAGAACCCCCAGGGAAACGGTCATAACAGACCAAAAACTGAGGGACAAGGTGTGGGAGCAAGCATAACAGCCAGGGACACTGAGCCCAAACCCAAAGGCCAAAAAAACTCACTCAAGAAGCTCGCTCGCACACCCAGTTGCATGTAAACAAACCACAACGCCGCCTTGGTGGCCATGCCGGGAAACCGGCAGACGAAAATGGCCACCAGAACAGAGGGCTGTGACCGACGCTAAAGATACGAAAACACGCCAGCAAAAGTGGGAAGCAAGCAGACTGGATGGGCGAAAAACTCTGTGTAAAAGCAGAAAACCCAGGCAGGGGCAAACTGCCCCAGAACTGCTAGCAGGCATCCCCCACAGCCCCGGGAACCAGCAACAGAGGCCCCGGGGTAGAGCCGTCCTCCAAGCCCTCCGCCCTTAAAGAAAAGGAAGAGTCCATGGGAAAGGCAGCAAGAAAGGGCCGCTGGTAAGACCCAGAAGCCTTGGCAGGAAGAAAAGGCTCGAAAACCTCCGTCCCCCAACCCGAACGGGGCAGCCCCCGAAACCTCCCCGAGTCTCGGCCCCAACTAAACCCCGCCCCGAACCCAGAAACCAGCAGGCGGTCCAGAGCTGGGAACAGGGAGGGAAAGGGGTGAACAGCACCTAACCAAAACGGGGCGGCCTGGGGGCATCCGAGTGGGAAACCAATCTAGCATGTTGCAGCAACCTAACCTAGCTTGCAACATGGATGCCGCCTGTACTCTGAACAGTAATAACATCAGGAGAGTACTGGAGAACAAGCAGAGAATATCTCTCGCAAGACTCTGGGTCAAGGTGTCAGTGACCCAACAGGCAACATGATGGAGGTAAAAGTGGCGACTGTCATCCTGAGACAAGGGCACAGCGACCAACGATCCCGTACAAGACGAGTTGGAACCCGGAAGACACATTCAATGGTTCACTGAGCCCAGACAGGGGTTTCTAGGGTCCGTAGGCTGACTGCTACGGGAAGCCCAGGCAAGGTGTTGCTAACCGGTTAAGAAACCCAAAAATAACAAGAGGGTAGAGGATAGCACTGAAAACCCCTGCGACATGTACAATCACAGGGGCCTAGCAGAGGGCTGCCAAACAATACCAGTGGAACTATAGCCACACTAGGCAGACCCCCTACCAGGCAATTGAAAAGAAAATCAAAAGAAAAAACCCGCAAAAGTACACCGTCTCCAGAGGCAACTGGAACCGGTCGCCGCTTAGGTGGCAGGCTGTGCAACACCTTGACGCCCTAACCAGCACAATACCAGTCCCTACCCATGGCCAAACAAGGGCCCCAAGCCCCAGCTGACCCCAAGGGCGAGGCAAATGCCGAGCAGCAAGAACCTCTACGGGAAATGTTCCTGAATGCCCCAGGGAAGATAACCCTGTTACGCAAGGGCAGTACTCACAGGGCTCTTAGGGAAGGAAGCCCCTAAGCACATGCAGCCTTGGCACTGATGAAGAACACCTGGCCACCGCACAACACAACACACGGCAGTGAACGCCACACAAGGCAAACACCGCCTAGGAAACTGAGGCCAGAGAAGCATCTATCCCGGTTGACATTAACTTACGAACTGAAGCTTGGCAGAATGGCGCAGTAGGTCCAGCGCTCCCTCCTCCCCCTTTCGGGGCGGGGAGGGCTGAGCGGACGATCGGCGCGGCAGTAAAGTGTGATGTTTGCTTGTTTGTTTGTTTCCTTGGGATTGTAGGGAGTTTCTACCTCTGTTCGGTTTTTTGTTTTAGTTTTTTACCATGTGGGGTTTGTTTTGTTATGCCTACCTTTCTGGGTGCCTGGCCCCGGTCGATGGCAGATAAGGAAAACCCCAACCACAAGGGGGTTTTCCAGGGCCATTGCTCCCTGAAACCTCTCTGAAGGGGCCAAGTTCTGGCGCTGGTCCCTGGTAGGTCTGAACTCCTTAGCTAATGTCCCGGTCTAATATAACATACATTAGCCTGATAAGCTCCAGGGAGCCGTAGGGGCTCCCCACAGAAAAGCTGGTTTAGCTGGATAAAAAATCGGAGCTGGGTTAACTTGCTGCCGATGTTGCACTATCCGGACAGTCAGCCGGATAAGCATTGAATTGTCCGGATATGAAAGTCATGGGGCGGGCCGTACCGTATTAATCCCATCTGGCTGTGGCTCAAGGCACATAGTGGAGGAGGTGGGGGGGGGGGGGGGTGTCGGGAGGGTGGGAGAGGAGCGTTTTAGGAATTACCATTAATTTTACAACAATTCATCATAGTCAAAAACAAAAGAAATACTAGTAATTATGTAATAACAAAAATATATTTTTCCTAAAAACAATGTGAACAGGGTGACGTTTCCTTAAAAAATATTGAGTTTTTTCCTCCTGGCGGCCTACGCAACGTGCTATAGCTGCCCCAAGTGGACCCGTCCAACTCTGGTCAACCCATGTGCTCCCGTCCCTCGTGTTATACCACAGTGTCGCGCCATTAGTGAAATATATTTTTAAATATGTTTTTTATTTTCGTAGTAACTTGGAACATTTTTGGCCAAGACTGTGTCTGGTAGTAGCATCAATCATTCTGGAGGTGTTAAGAGGAAGAAGGTTGTCCTAATAATTAAAGACAAGTTACGCGTTATACACCTCAACCAGTGAGGCTTCAGCAGCTGGCAGTCAAAACTAACTTTGCTTAATGAACTGTACAGTAATTTTAAGTGTTAATTTTAGTGTTGTGTTAGTATAGGTTACGTAAATTGTTAAAATTCTTAACTTCAAGATGTGTGGCATCAATCAAGAAGACGAACACCAACAAGGTAAGTTGAGGTTTGTAGTTGAATATTTAATAATTATATGTGGCAAGGCAATTCAAATTATGTTGTTTGCAGTATAAAAATAGTTGGAAATGGTCACTTTTAGACTCAAAGGTGAAAAGTACCATTATCCGGAACACGTGAATATCCGGCTAGGGGTCCTTCTCATATAGTCCGGATAATCGAGTGGAAACAGTATGTATGTTTTCATACATTTTGTGTGTATGTAGGTATGTATGTATATATGTGTATATGTGTATATATATGTCCATGTATGTATGTATTTATATACAGTATATACATTTTTTTTCGGAAGGGGTTCCGTTCCCTTCGCTGTTGATGGGGCGCTGGAGGGGGGTGGGCAGCTTGCTCTATTGGCTCTCGCTTGTGGTTGTCTTCCGGCCTCTGGTGGCGTCGGGCAGCTTCTTCCCCTTTGGGGGGTTCGGGGCTGGTGGGGTGGGCTTCTTTCCCCACGCTTCGTCATATCATCTTGGTGTGGGTGCATTTGGACGTGTCGTTCCGCCCTCATCCTTCCGAGGTTCCTGCCTGTTCTAGTGCAGACACGGGCCTTGCGGTTCTTCTGGACTTATGCAGTCTGCGTCCTGGATTCTGTGCCCTCATCGGAAGACTGTTGTCTCCGGTCCAGCTTCTGTTTTGGGCCGGGTGCGTAGATGGTGTCTCTGGACCTCCAGGTCACCTCTTGGCACGTTCTTCTCTAGGGTTCCGGCACAGTTGGTGGTGGGGGCTTCAGGCTTGCTA